TGTTGTTGTTGTTGTTGTTGTTGTTGTTGTTGTTGTTGTTGTTGTTGTTGTTGTTGATACAACCTCCAAACCCACCAGATTCTCTGAGATATGATATGATGTCATCCAGCTTTGGATGCAAGCTCTAGAGCCCAGACCCAGACATGACCTCGGTTTTGATGGGACGTTAGACCCTTTTCGTGGATATTTGGGGTGGTCGTGTGATCCCAAGTGCAGAGTCTGCGATGTGAGTCTACGCCCCTGGAGTCCAAAACACAGAAAAAAGCGGTTGACCTGGTGTGGTAGTGCTAAAATTTTGAGTAAAACCAGGCCAGGAAGCCCAACGGAGCCTCAAAAAAGGAAGTACATGGGACTCGGGTCACTCCGTGGTCATCTTCCTCCAGGTGGCAGGATCGGGAAGTTCATCCATTCGCCCTCGCTGTTCACTTCCTTCTGCAGGTCCAGCTTCATCCAGCTGCTCCCATCAAGGCTTCCTGCACCACCCAGCACCACCCAGCTGGGCCGGTTGGAGACCCCTTTCGATGTTCCATCATACATCCAACCACCCGACCTGGGTGGTGCTGGCAGTTTTTGTTGCTTCGTCTTTGCAGCCGGTGAAACGGACTGACTGAAGTCATCTGCCCCATCTTGGCAAGATGTTCCACTGAAGAAGAAATCCTTCAGTTTCCCTGACGATGATCCCACAACACCCATCCGGATGAACCAAAACATGCGCACAACGGGATTGCGGGAATGAGAATTCACATTTAGGGTCTGGATATCTGGTGTCCAAGCACCAAAAAAGTTCGCTCGCCACACCAAACAATGAAACCGCTCACAGAAAAGCCATGCTCAGCAACGAAGGACACGTCAGTCAGTCAACCATGGAAACCCGCACGGAATTGGAGACTCTAGTGTGTTCCTTGGCAGCTTGGAATCATTTTCTCTGAGGACTATCTACAGAGTCATGTACACTCTTGATTAACAAATCCCCATAGCCATACGAAGAGGGATGATCCAATTATAAATTGTGAGTGGTGGGTTTTATGAATCAAGAGTCTACATACAAACGAGCTTAGTAATTAATAGGCTAGCATAGGTTAGCGCTAGCATACCGTGCAAAAAAAAAAAAACAGATGTCAGATCTCGCAACATCTGTCCTTCGAGCACCCAATCCAGCTGCTTCGCGCGTTCACCCCGAAGGCTGTACGTCTCGACCGCGGTACTTGCTTCGAACTCATACCTTCAAGGGCGCGTGTCGCCAAGGTGGATGTGTTGTCCCGTTTGGATGAAGGCGACAGACTGATATACTGAAAACGTGTGATCAGCAGACACAGACTGACCAAGTCATAAGTCATGATCAGTGGTGTCTTTCTTCTGAAACAGATCTGGCAAAAGAACCGAACACCGGTCACTCTGTCGGACGAGCTGTCGGCTTTCCCCTTTCGAAGCCATCGGAGACCCCTGTCTCGCCACCCGACGGACCCCCCCTCGGGCGGCCCAGATGCCGCAGGGACCCCGAGGAATTGGCACAAAAGCTCGGATGCCTTGGTCCGGTGGTGCGGTTCGTGCCGCGGGAGGTCTCCTGGGGTCCTAAGTCGGTTTGGGTTTGTTTGGGTTTGCGTCCATCTGGGTTCGAAGCATGAAATCAACGGTCTGGATTTTTGTGAGGTTACTGTTTACTACTGTTTACGGTAGGGTTTTGGACTACAAGACCAGGTCAATCATGGAGAGAAGGGCCCCGGCCCAGCACTCATGGCGATGACTTGACCCGGCGATCCTTTCAACAGCCGTTGATGAAGCTCTTAGGTCGTCTCGCACATTGACCTGGCCTTGTCGCTCTTTGAACGATTTGAGGGATATCCCACGCTCCAACACCTCGCAAAAAATGACACTCCTATTTCCCCGAAACACCGCCTCGACCCCTGTCGGACACCCAAAACTCAAGGTGTTGGTTCGCCTCAAGCTTCTTGCTCCAGCGCTTGCGACCGGGTGTAGCAGTCCACCTGGCAGATGGAGACGGCAAGGGTCAATAGCAGCGAATCGATCAAACCCAGCCTTGAGGTTTCAAAGTAGATGGACTTGGCACTGGCACCCTACACGTCTTTTAGATGGTTGTCCATTTAAACCACCGAAGTTGGGGATTGTGCCATCTAGTCTGAGACCAGTGTCAGTCATTACTCGCAATTCTTTATACATAGAAAACTCGTGCGACCACACTGTTTGAGGAAAAAACACTTAGCGCGTCGTTGCGATTGGTGGAAAATCATGGAAAATCTCTATTCTTCAGTGCCTCAGCCTTTTGACCAAACTTCAGGCAGCATGCAGTCTGTTTCAGGTTTAAAGCACCTTTTTGGAGCAGGATCAGTGTCCCATAGAAACCCCAGCGACAGTCAGTTCAATGTATCTGAAGACCTTGAGATTTATATGGAAAAAAAATGCCCGGCTGATCATGTCTAGGGGATAAACCACAAGAGGATGGCATATCATAGGCTCCCTCCTCATGCCATTGACTTGTTATCCCCTTTTTCCAGTTTTTCTTCCACCCCGTCCGTTGAACCTCCGCTGCAGTCCGTTGACTCCGCCGGGCGGAGAACCTGCGCAGGGCGGCCGCACCTGTCTGATCGAAGAATCGCATCTCATCGACGCACCAGCCTGGCGCCGGATTTTGCCGGATCCCCGGAGCCGGTGGTTCCGATTTGGGATGAGGATGGATGAGGTATTGGAGTGGGTTTTTCACCGAGAAGTCCAGGTCAAGACGATATTGCACCGACTGAAGTATACAGTGTATTACAGGAAGCTCCCGCTTCCTTCAGGTCTCCGAGGTCGACCGTTCTTTTGATCTTGACTCCGTACGGTACGGTATGTTGAAGACACCCAAGCAAAGGCGCCTGCGCAGGGGTCTGAACCCCTGGGAGGTCTCCCTATTTGGATACAAACCCCACAGGAGTCGGGCTTAAAAAGACATCACCTCCGCAACAAAACCCACGAGACATCACTGAACCACACCCCAACCGCCCTCGGCCAAAGACCACGCTAGAAGTACTCCCCCCACCCTTGGAGCTGGAGCCAAACATGCCCTCTGCAAAAAAATAATCATGAATCAAAATAGATTTGGAAGCACTTGGGGCCAAAAAAAGGAACTTCTATAGGTATACCAATACCAATACCAATACCTATCGTGCAAGTGAAACACAAGAAGATCTGCCATCTGGAGCAACATGGTCTTCCCAGGAAGAATTTTCCACGTCCATGATCATTTCAGAAAGTGTCCTCAAAGGTAGCCATCTGCTCACTGCAACTTGTCACACCATACCTTAATATATATATATATATCCTGCTATACCATATCCTGCTATACAATGCCCCGTCACATGATCCAATGCCCAAGATTTCTTAAAACCCATGACCCGGATTCGATTTTTCAAAGCGGAATTCACCCCAGCCGTGACCTGACCCATTCATTCGAAGCTTCGAAGCGACCGTGGCCTGCGGACTGGACGCTGTTCGCCAGGGTGTAGTAGGTGTAGCCCGGCCGCTGCAGCGCCACACTGCCGAAGCCTCCACCACGCAGCGGCTTGCCGTCGTCCCCAAAGAAAGGCGTCGTTGGTCTAGTCGGTCCCCAGTCGGGGCCCCGGTTTTTCAGAAAAGGTGAGGGATTTTTAGACCAAAAAAGGGGTTCCGACACGGGCTTCAAAAACATGTTCAATGAAAAGGGCAAGCTTTTTGGGTCATGTTTCGAGCAAGCCCTGTCACTCCAGCTGGGTACAGTGCTGGCGGAACGCGACTCTGCATCTTGGTGACTTGAAGAGTTGATGTCCACTCAGTGGGTTTGGCAGCTCGGCAAAAGAGAGCCCCGAAATGCATGTAAATGATGAGCCTGCTGGTGGGTTTGGTTCACCTGCACAATGACTGCATTTGATTCAACGTTTCTTGCACGACAAACGGATTCGGTCCTCGAGTTCACGAGATTCGGAAGAGGTTCGGGTCATCTTGAGGTGCACCAACCTCACCCATCTCAGCGGTCTTTCGTCCCCCACTTCTGTCACGCCCCACTTCTGCACGAGACCAGCACAAAATGGCTTATGGCTTATGTCTCAGATTTACCACCCAACCAGGGATGGCCTGTGGTGCAGTCATGATGTCCGGGAAGGATTGTGGACTCCTTGAAATACATGCACATGTATGAATAACTACACCCTGGAAATGGTGAATCTGCGATACAGAAGTGGAAACCCCATGAAAAACACCTGTTTGTAGAGGAAAATGATAGCCACTGTGGCTCGATTGTTCACGTCCGCTGTCAGGTTGGCGCGGAATTGTCGCTTCTGCGAATCAAGCCATGCTATGGACCAAAGTCCTTTGCTCTGTGCCATTGCTCCTGTGGCTTGTAGTTTCGTCGCCATGGTTGTTGACATGCTTCATTCTCTTCATTGAGTCTGGAAGGTTTGAGTGGCACATGGCTGACACAACCGTCAGGTTCACACTCGTCCTTCAAAGGCAAAACGGCCATGTTGGAGAAACCCCGGCAACCTCTCGACAGCAGCGATGAGATGTCAAGGGGTGAATCCATGACACAAAAGGGGTAAGTGTTCTTGGTCTGAAAATCTGCGCATCCTTTGTGGTCGCCCTCTTGTTGTTTTGGTTCCTTGCAAGATGGCTTGCCAGCCGCTGATTGCTTCACCTGATGGGATGGTGAGTGAAGGCGAGTTGTGGACGTAAGGCGAATGAAAAAGAGTTGCTGTTCAGCTTGAAGACAAATATCGTGTGGTTGAGCTTAAGCTGACTGTTCTTTGTCTAGGGATGCATTGGATGAATAGCCAAGGGTCATTGGCGATGTGTCATTCTGCAAGTTTCAAGCACCTCACCTATATGTATGGGCCATTCACTGGGTATTAGAGGTGAACAGCCGATTCTTCTGTGCACGCCGAGCGCCAAGTTTGAGCGCCAACCGTGCATCTTTCGGGGGAAACTGTCCACTTCCAGAACGAATTTCTGGAGATCTTCCAGAAAACTTCCAAGATTATTTCTGGAGATGTGTTTTTTCTGGATTATTTCTGGAAGAAGTAATCTGGAGATCTTTCTGGAGATGTGGTGTTCTTCCAAGATGATTTCAAGATCTATCACAGAACTCCTGACCCAAAGTACCCTCACTAGCCGGGGGCCTTGCTCTGAGGCTGTGCTCCAGGAGGTCCCATCGGACTCTCGCAGTTCTTGTAGCGCTTGGCGGCTAAGCTTCTGGTCATTCGAGAGGGCATAAATCATGCCACCACCAAGCATCACCTAGGCAGGTAGAGCCGTAGAGCCCTTCCCTGTGCGATTGAAACAGAGGTACCTCAAAAATCGGAAAAAAGGGTACAAAATACCATTTGCGAAACCAGTTTTGAAGTCATTCACCTCCCTTCTACTATCTTCCACTGCAGGTAGCTTTATGGTTACCGTAGGATAATAGGTCGGTGAAGTACCTCCATCAACCCCAGCAAGTCACCTTCCAAGCAAGCCAGCAAGCCATCGACGTCACCACCCAGCACCATTCGGCCATCAACTCCCCAAAACACCACTTCGGCCATCTGAACCTCCTTGATGCCACCTCCTCCCCTTTGAGGCAGCATCCGAACCTCGCCCGCCTCGTTCCCTCGTACTTCAGCACGCCCCAAACCCCCTCACACCCGGACCCGAGACCCGTTTCGAGCTTCCGCACAGCGATCCCTGAACAACCCAGGTCACCGCGATCCAATCGTTGGAAGTCGAGGAAGAGCTTAGTGACCAGCCACCTGCAGGTGAAGTCAACTGATCACCGCCTGGCCTACCTGTTAGAAGCTGTTTAGGGTGGATGCCGGGGGGCGTCTAACTGTGCCCACTGACAAAACCAGTTGGAACCCGAGGATCTGGAGCCTGAAAGTGTTGCAAATGAGAAGCCATGCCCAAGCCGAAGGGATCAAATGCAGAAGCCTCCGTGCCAGGTCACCCATTCTAGAAGATTGAATCACTAAGAGTAGCAACCCTTCGCAAAGTTCTGTGCATGTGTCGACCAATGTGTCGATGAATCGCACCCGAGCGATAGGAACAAAACCAAACCGATTAATGGATGTTCCTTGGGCGGTTTCAGCTTGTTCTAATGGCAAACCTAGAAGCGATGGCCTCCAAGCTACTAGCGACGGCCTCCAACCTAGTTTATATTAAACCAATTTGAGGTCACATGAGGTCACTGGCTCAATCAGCTGAACAAAACACTGCTGTCTTTCATTCTCAAGCCAGGTTTCTGTTGCTTCCTGCCTTCCCGAACAAAAAACCTCCTGGCCCTGATCGAGGACACCAGATCTCGCATAGATCTCGCTTCACCCGAGTCAGCCGCACCGCTCGCCGCACCGCTCCAACGATCTCATAAATAAAATAAATTCGGCCGGGTAACGGAAACGAAAAATATACAGGATGAGACGATATATATAGGCACTGGATGAGACGATATAAGCGATCAGATCCTCATGGTTGTGCCCATAGTATAAACTGTCCATGGTCCTTCACCAAGTCCATTCCCACCGATGTAGAAGCACGGAACCTTCACGTCCGAACGAACCTCTTTGTGACGCTACGGCATTACCACTAGTAGCGTCCGAAGCTACTAGTAACAAGGGCATCGCTACTTGTAACAAGGGCATTACTGCTACTAGTAACAAGGACATTACTACTAGTACATTCTGACTCACTGGAAGTGGACAATGGTCACTTGGAAGACTACCTTCCTCTACAAACACGTGGTTTTCCACTTCCATGTTAGTGAGTCAGAGTGTAGCTAGACGCTACTAGGGCAAGCGATGCAGTACCTCCGCTTCACGCATGTGTTCTTCGCTCTCGCCTTCGCTCTTGGCTTGGTAGATGCGCTTGTCCACGCCAACTCCTTTGGCGGTCGCACCGCCCGCGGACAGTCGGTGGCCGACGGACTTCGTCGGTTGCTGTAGAGATAAAGCACGAGAACGGGGCTCCCTTGAACGACACATCCCCATATGAAACATCGTTTTAAAGTGTTCAATCACAAAAAAACTCGTGGGTCGACATCCCGAACTGATCAGAACTGTGTGGATGAGTAAATGCTGAAGCTGCTTCGAGTGCGAAGCCTTCATGTTTGAGGCTACAGCTGATGTGGCAGCCAATGATTTGGAACTTCAGCAGAGGCTCATGCTAGAAAAGCTGGCTCCTCTTTGTTGCAGGTGGTTGTGATTACAGTGATTACTGGGGATCTGTTGCAAAGTTGCCTGGAGAGTCACTTACAGTACTTGACTTGATCTTCCTCTTTCTGTTGGCTGCAACATAGTAGTGAGCCAGTGTTCCCTTGTTCGGGGGAGAAAACAACCCCATGTCCATCCAAAACCGAACGATTGCTGGGAACAGCTGTGGAAAGCCGATTGGAGTATGGAAAAAGTGCCTCCTGGCCCTATACAAACATCAAGTGGAACTATCAACAGTTGAACTATCACCGGCGTTCCGGCAAACCACAAAAATCCTCCTTCGGAGGCAACAGTTCCTGCAGTTCCTGATGCCCTAGATTCATCTCATGCGGTGCGCATTGCGCATCTCATGCGGTGCGCATGCGTGACTTGGGCCTGGCTACTTGCACCCGGGGAAGATTAACATGGAACTTCCTGAGTCCATGGTACCCGGGGTCGTCTGACTGCTTTCCTCGTCTGCTGCACGGTCCAACCCTGCAGGAGTGGTTTTGTTCTGCAGGCTGCTTGATCCCATGGACCGGCCGGGTCGGCTGTCGCAATTGGAAGTGGTTGATCCTGCTTTTCGGAATCCAAACCATTCAAGATAGATCAAAGATTCATCCCATCCAAGCAATCTAAACATGTTTCATCATCGGACATCCAAACAATCGGTTGCACAATCCATGAAATCCTCCTATATGAAAATGTGGATGTCTCGGATTTCATGGTCGTCGGTTACTAGGGGCCATGGACCACGCCTTGCTTTTTTTTCCCACGTCACCATGGATGTTCGTTCCAATCATACTGTAGATCAATTGAATCAAGAGTCGTTTCAAAATTTGGAATCAAGAGTCTGAAAAATCAGCTGTAGTGAACAAACGCATAAATTGAATCAAAAAAGACAGCTTCCGTCCAGATTGCCTGCTTTGTGTGGCCGAGGCCCGGTGGCCACGAAACAAAACCACCTGCCTCCACCTGCCAGACCAAGCATCCATAGACCATCCCGCCCGCCACAGCGACCTGCCCAGGCAGGCGGTTCACCAAATCGATTTTAAAGGAAAGATACCGAACCTGAGCGACATCCAAAACGCCCTGTTTTTGGAGGAAAATGCTCTTCCAAGGGGCCATGCCATCCACTTCCATGTTAGTTAGTTCCAGGGAGTGTAGGTTTAAGAATCAACCCTTCGCGTCAGACAGCACGTCGGTTCATCGGAGAGTCGCTGCGACGGTGCGCGATTGTCTTAAACTTAAGCACGTTCAGCGCGATCCAAGATGATGAAGACCAGCAAACCCTTCACAGTTGTCTCTCATAATCCAAAGCGACATATGGATGCTATCGCTATGGATGCTGTAAGGAAGCTGTATGGGTTGGCGAATGTTCGGTACATCCCACTACCAGTAACAAACAGTGGATGATGATGTTCTTAGGTTGCAGGCCTTGTTGAAAATCATGAGGTAAAACGATTACCGACGGGTGGCTCAGTAAGGGGACAGACCCAAGATATGGGTTTCAAGCCCCAACCATGGGTCAGGTGGCTTGTCTGAGGAAACCTCACAACAACGAGTGAGATTGCAAGGCATTTTCATCGGAAGACCCTATGGCCCCCCAATGGGTAGACACGGCTATTCCCTCTTTTTTGAGGGGGTCGTTGCCTGGGAGGTCTCCCAGTTTGAGCCACACACACCCACGTGTACGTTCAACTGAACATGGATCACCTCATCGTCCCCAAAAACAACTTTCAAACGTTTGCCTTGGAGGACGTCTGCCTACGCCAGCCACTTGGGGATTTCGGAGTGATGTAAGCCTTCTGGAGAGAACATGACGACATACCCTTCAGTCAACAACTCAACTGCCCCTTCTTTTCTAACCACCAACATTCTGCTAAAATCAATCACAAACTTTAACCTCAATGAGTGAAGGATCAACAAAAACAAACAAAAAAGCACACACACCTTCCTTCCTTCCTTCCTTGATCCATATTCATCGCCCAGAAAAGATCTCGATGGAATTCGACATTGTATACATCGCCTGCAGGAAGAGCCGCTCATCAAAAAGCTTCCAGGAACTGTTGGGTGACATGGAAGAAAAGCTCTGCCAAAAGAGCTTGCCCTCGACGCCTGGTCGATGTCTGGAATCCGTTTCGTGGAAGACTTGACTCAATGAGAACTGGCCAAGTGATATAGTGATATAGTCTTGAACAAATGAGATGGTCGAGCACAAGAAGCAGCAACGGCCCCAGAATATCTAAAATTGAAGGATGCTCGTGCTCGTCAGTTTCATCTGTTCATAAGTTCCCAACATCGAATCTAACAATGGTCTATTTGTGGGAGTCCTGGTTTAGACGCATCTATGTCTTTGTACCCCCCGGCTGCGTTAAAGACGAGTGATTGTTGTTCTTCCGCATGACCAAAACCCGAGAGATCAAGGTGATCAAAAGTGTCAAAAGACCCATTGGTAAATCACGACCACCCTAAAATGCATCCTGAAAACCCTGAATGGCATTTTGTAGATGCAAATGGTCTCCATGTATAGACTGTATAGAGATCCATTGACCTATCCTAAAACCACTTGGCCTGGGGGAAACATGCTTCGGCCCTTCATGAGGCTCTGACAGAAAAAGGATTGCAAAGGAAGAAAAAGAGTCGGAATAACTTGTCTGGGCACTCAGGAGTCATGCTGTGACACATGCAACTGGTTTAGTCCCCGCTCCGAAGTCCTCAGAATATGGCAAGCACGACTCAGGTGTGTGTAGCCAACCAAACAGTGTAGGATTCCGGAAACGATGGGAAGTCCCTCCCGTAAGCACAACGAGCCAACGAAGTTTTGCCATGGCGCTGAGCCCATAGGCTACTTCTTCACCTGAATGGCGGCCATGGGGCTAGTGAGGCTAGTGAAGATTCCCGATCATGATTGACACGTCTCTCTAGGTGCCAAGGACAGTCCAAAAAGGGTGGAGTGAGTGCCAATGTAAATTGTTGATGAAAAAGAACTCCATCTGGAGAGGCTTTACGATCCATGTTTGCGGTGTATGATGCTTAATTGCTCAACAGAATCAACCGTCTACAGGAAAAACTCCGCGATATGGAACAGGTGTCATCAACCTTTGACTGGACGTTCTGCTGGTACCCATCGGATAGGCGCACTCCGTAGTGAGCACTACACAGCGAATGCACCTACCGACAAAGGCTCTTGTGAAGATTTTACGTGTTCCACGCCCCACTGCTGACGACCTGTCAGCCAGCACTGGCCATCTGTCAGTGTCCAATCGTGTCATTTTCCTCCAGGTCCCAACATTCCCACTAGCACCGAAGTAGACGACGAATGCCCACGCTCATCGAAGTGAAGTAGACGGGACGGGGTAAAAACAACGTACCAAGTCCTGCCCGAAAACAGGAAGTCCTCAGACAACATCCGTCGCCACCAATGTTCCAATTTCTAAAAAACATCTCCAAGGCACTCCCTCCAATGGCCAGTTGTTTCCACTCCTCGCCCCAGGCCCACACGGTCCAGTCCTCACTGCTGTTGCTGAAGCTCCTGGCGCTTCGTTCTGAATTCGCTACCGTGCGAGTGCCGACTGAGCGAGATCAGCGAGATCAGCAGCGAGATCGTACAAGTTGTCTTGATTGAAAGGTTGTGCATGTCCATTCTTGTAAATAGCACCTGCTTGCCTACAGACTCAAGCCGCTCCAAATGTAATGTATGCCTGTAATGGTGTAGCAACTTGCAGTCCCTCAAAAGCAAGTGGCCAAAGTTGTAAAGTGGTCTAGCGCGGATCTAGCGCACTCCTCCGCCAGTGCCTCAGGCCACCAAACGGCGGTGGCACTCGTGGACTTGGCTTGCCGGAATCGAAACAGTTGTCTCTTGATGTCTCTTGTGTATATATATATACATATACATTGGCAATTAAAAGCAGTAGAAGCATCCTCTTGGGCGTGTATGGTGTGGGCGTGGGTCGGTCGAAAGCAAATGTGCGCGGTGTCAGCGACTGAGTCTGGTGTCCGACCGAATCCAGAGACGGAGCTTTTTACCCGATCGAGGTCTCAAAACAGCCCCCAGTAGTGTGGGGTTTTTAGATACCCCTTAGCCCCTTAACCTCTAATCTAAGAGGTGATATATATGTATATATATACCTGGAAACCCAAACAACCAGAAACAAATGGTATATATAACATATATATATAATCTCTATATTTAAATAGACACCTCGAACCGGTCCGAAGGTCCTGGGACTCGTCCGGTATCAAACGTCCGTCTCGTCGTGACAGTGATCGTCTGGTCCGTCTCCTCTTCAGGATCTTCTTCTCCGAGATACCTCAGTGACAGTGGGACAGGCATCCGAAGACAGGTGGGAGACAGACAGGCGCAAGTCGGACAGAAGTGGACGACGACAAACGTCGGAAGTGGAAGTGATGAAACGAACGGTGTGCATGGGATCTTGCGACAACAAAGCCGTGTTGTGGAGGGGGAAGTCTCAAACCATCTTCAGTGGTGAACATCGAGAGTAGATAGGATCCCAACTCTTTTCCAAAACACCCAGATTCAAGTCAAATGCGCTACAGCAACCCACCGCAGAATCTCCCAGATCCACTGCCGAACGGAGTCCCACTTGGGCTCCCGAGAGTTTTCGTCCATTCGGGGGTGCCCCCCCGAACGGTGTCAATCGATCCTTGTGCTTCTTGTTCCTAATAGCGAACCTTGCTCCGCTCGTAGTAAGGTCAGGGTCGCCCCGTTCGTAGCGTCCGTGCTCCGTAGCGATGCCAGGAGCCCCTAATAGCTTCTTGTTCCCAACAATCTTTTGCCATGGACATCCATGTCTGGGAATTCCAGTGGCGCCAGAAGGAACCAATCACCACCAATACCAATCTTCTTGAATGTTACATCGTCACCTGCCTGGCCTGCCGTTTCTCTCGTTTCCCAGAAGGTCCACACTTCCTGGCAATTATTATCAAACTCTGGAGTTCACCACCTGTTTGGTCTTTGAATTCAAAGTGCTCGTCCGAACTCGCGGGATTTGCTAGCGTCGACGCGACGAGGTGGACGGGCCCGTCTTCCCCGCGCCGCTGCGCCGCTGCACCGCTGCGCCCGAGTGGCCATAAAGTGTCCCACCTGAGGAGGAGAGAGGGGCGACAGACAGAAAAGAAGAAGTTGTTCGACCAACGGTTCCTGTCTGACCCAGGTTTGGACCCCTGAAAAACCCCCTCTGACCCTAGTCAAAGCAATCAAACCTGGTCCCGGTTTCCCCTCGGGTAAGACTTGTGTTTGGGGATGATCAACTGGAAGTGAAATGAGGTCCAACTGACCCAAGTCACGTTCAACCGAGAAAAAGAACACCGCTCACACATCCAAAGTCCAGAAGTGCGGTCCGGTAGGGGTCTGGGAGAAGAAAACAAGGACCCTGAGTGACCTCAGTGCGGTCTCTTAGAGGGTTGATCTCAGGACAGTCGCTTTGGCCCCAAGGACCGACACCCAAAGACCGGCTTCGGCACGGAGAACGGTGCGCCGTTCAGTTCGGGTGTTCGGTGTTCGGTGTTCGGAGCCGATGCTTGGGCCGATGCTGGGGTCGAAAAGAAAAAGAACGCGGATGGATGTTCCAATCGTTACGGGTCTTTTTTTTAAATGGTGGACGTTGCGTCCTTTTAGTGTGGTTCCTTTTGTTCTTGAAAGGGAATGGATCCAAACAACTCTCCATTTGCTTTGGCGAAACAGCCAGCCACCAACGAAACTGTGCCATTCCGCCATGAAATTCCTTAATCTACCAGACTGTGGATCTCTGACCTGTGTGATGACCTAGTCCCCTTACACACCGAACACTCAACAGTCTGAAAGATCGTGACGGGCACCGTGGGCCGAGTGAGTACGGCCGCCAGGCCAAACGACACCGACCGCTGGGACAGGCATAGTTACTGCGAAGGGTGGTTGACCGGTCAATGAAGGTCCTTGAAAACCAGTAGGGGTCAATGACCTATCCAGTAGGGGTCATTGTCCCAGGGTCAATGAGTTCTTCCATATCCCAGTCCGACCGACTTAAGTCAGACCGACTTGAAAACCCCCCACCCTCCGAGTTTGAGATCCAGCCGTTCGGTTCGGTCTGTTTTCGGTTCAGTCGACCGGGTTTCGGTCCTTCCTCCGGAACTCAGCGGTCCACGCAGGCGATGCAGACATGAGAAGACATGACAGGATATGACAGGTACCCCGAAACCACACCGGTCGACCGATCAATCGCGTAGACGTTTCGTCCGTGAATCGTTTCACCCCGAACACATGGAGCAAGGCGCACCCCCAAAACACAGGCGCCGGCCCGGTGCAGTCTGAGCTACGATAAGGCAGCACTTGCGTCCAATTTCTTTCCTGAGATGAGCATTCAAGGCACGTTCCTCTTACAGAATTGGTGAGTTGTACCAGCACCACCCAGGTCGGCTGGTTATTGGAGGGTAAAGTCAGTACAGTAGGTAGGAGGGTCTACAAACCACCTGAACTGGGTGGTTGTTTCTTATTTTTTTGGGTGATGCATTCAATTCCCCTTTCGATGTGAGCTTGCCGTCCCCCTAGGTTCTTGACACCTCAGAGTCCTCGAGTCCAACAGAGTTGAAGTAGGATACTGTCATTACAGTCTCTCGATGCGGTTGATTCTTCCGAAGAGCCCCTTGGGATGAAAGCACGAAGCACACGTCAACAACATCAAAAACACCCGGGACACACGAAGCACACGAAGCACCAAAGCAACTGAGTGGCGCTTCCAATCTGCAACCAAGCAGAAGGGGTGAGGTCCTTGAGATTCTGCTGATGCAGCCTTCTATCCTGAAGCACGGAAAGCTGTCTGTTTTTGGACCTCCTGGCTTCAGAACTCTCGGAAAGCAGATGCCGGAACATTTGTGGAAACTGTGCTGTCCCTCGACAGCAGCTAGTCTTCCCTTTTCGTCCGATTCTGAGATCTCAGTAGACACCTCGGAAGAAGAGCCAACTGAAGGAAAACTCCGCAGTCACCATTGCCCTTCAGGATGTGGTTCTTGAGACCCCCCCAGACTTCGATCTTCGTAGAAAAACCACCAATCTTCGCCTTCAGGTTAAGACAAGGAGCCACTGAAATGGCATAGATGACATCTCCACCTGAGTGCAGTTCGGAGCCCACGGGCTCCGGCGAGTTCGCCGCTTGGCCGCGCCACGAGCCACGTGGCCGCTCTTGCTCTGTCCGCTATGGCACCCCGAGAAAGTGCTGGAAGCGGTGGCCAGGTGCCAAGGTGGTCATCCTTTTGGTGCCCAGGTTTGGGAGATGCAGTTCAAACGACGGGAGACATCATCCATTTGTGGAAAACCTCCACATCACCGTCCCACATCTTTTGTGTTTCACTACACTGCTACACCTGGCCTTTTCTTCCCGCTTGTGATCTGTGACTTTTCGTGAATCACTCATCGCCGATTCGGCGATCGAACGGGTTTCGACGACTCATCGCCGAACGGGTGCTCGTTTTCTGCCTCCAGACAGAACACATATCTTCCATGCGAACTCGTGAACAGTTCATGAGGATATGAACTAACTAGTTCCTCTTAATAGGGTCTTAAACAGGATCTTTTTTCTGAAGGGAGAAAAGGGCTCAAGGGTCCAACCGAGAAAGCCCAAGGCGCTGATCACAATGCTCTCCAAAGCGATGGACTCCTCGATGCAGGCGAGACATACTGCAGCCACAAAATCAGCGGATGATGATTTTCTGGGCTTCGTGATCATTGTTCACCGACTGTGACTGTTGGACACACCGTACGAATTCTCGAACGCACTGACAGAGTCCCAACCATGCCGTTTAGGGTTGGCAAGGGTCGCTTGGAAACTTCATGCACGTGTTGAAAAAATGACGAGTCAATTCGGTGCGATGTAGACCTCTTCAGAATCCAATCAAGAAAAAGTCTGATTTCGGACCGACACCTGCATATAGTGAAGTACAATCTTTGCCCAAACCTGGATCAACACATCAACGCACGAACGCGTGAACGATACGGGAACTCGTCATTGGCCCTTGCGGCAGGTGCTTTGTTTGCGTGGAAAACAGACGACTTGACTGGTGAAGATGTCGCGAAACTCGCGCATTTTCTCGCCCAGTTCCCAAGAACTGGGCCAGATCCCTGCGAGAGACCCTCCCCGGAAATCAGCTCCGATTTCAGATCACCAAGTGGTTGGCGGTTGGCAAGCCTAGGAGAAAAAACTGTGGTTTTTCCATAGACCGAATGCATCCGGTTTAGTCACCCAACTGCTCCAAGGGAAAGATAGTCTCAAACTGCTTACCAAAACCTTGCGAAGATCAAACCTGCAGCTGATGGATCAGTTCTCTTTGCCTCATGAGAACTGTGTTTTCCATGCCCATGCCCTCTGCAAGCTCTTACTCTCTGCACCTAATGACACCTTCTCCTTTGACCTCCTAAAGATGACCTTCCCAAATAGAAAAAAAACATCTCAACACCCTGGGCTATGGGAGACAGAGATAGACCACCAACCCTACCACCAACCCCAAGATCGACCAAGAAGCGCCCAGAAAGACCTTCTCCCAGGCAGTACCTGAACTCCACCTCATTCCGCGCGAATGTGCACCGGTCAAGTCGCACCCGAACGCGCGAGGCGAGCGGAAGTCACGTCGCGGTGATGTCTTCGTCAAGTCACGGTGTGCGTCCTGGGCAAAATTCAGAATCCAGCGGAGCCCACGATCCATCTACGGAACGCTTCAGACTCCCATTGGTAGCTTGGAGGGCTAGCCGTGTCCAGTTTTGCGGGACACGAAGTTGACCAATGGATGAGAATAGACACCTCTGGGAGATTTCGGCTGGAAAGTCGTCCTTTTTGCAGGACCAGGGCGGTTTTCTAGTTATGCTCCCTGAGACCAACTGGCCGTGCAAGTCATGGTGTGTTTCATCATCTGCGACTAACCGTTACTAACCACGGTGGCATGGCCGGCGTTTCAGGCAGCGAGACCCTCCCGACAGGTTCTTGGGTCGCACCAACCTCAAATTAGAGTGACACTCTCAAGTGGATAGACGGGTTGGGCATGTTGGTCTGGCGAATGGCAAATGTGTTGTACAATATAACTTGATGAATCTTGATGATCTCTTGACGTTGGAATTCCTTCGTGGATGGGCTTTGAGCCGCGTTTGGATCCTTCACCGGACGATGTGACGCCGGGAAAACAGGAGGTTCCGTGACTTTCAAGTGGGCGGGTTCTTTAAAACTGACACAAGACCAGACCTCTCATCAAGGCCCTTCAACAAGTGTTCACCTGCCATTTGCTGAAGGGCAACCAGTGGTGAAAGCCATGTGCTGAAGGGCAACTGACTTTTCTCAACCGACTTAGCTCTTTTCACTGTTTCAAAACTGACCTTTTTCTACCTGTTCTTGTTTCGTAGGTGTGCCCCAATCCCCTCAAAAAGGTGACCTGCAGGTGATCCACACGTATGATAAAGTATGATAAAGTCCTCTTTCTTGCCGTGCCACAGGCTGGCACTCTGCCGGTAGAGCTCCGAATTCTTCACTGCATAGACCACGTCGCCGCCCTCCTTGGTTTCGAGGCCGCGGGAGCCTGGGCGGAGGAAGGAAGCACGCGAGCCGAGCGGAAGCAAGTCATACGAGTCATCTAGTCTCCGAAACAAAAAGAAACAACGTATCACAGAAAGAAGGAAACAAGAATGGTCCTAACGCCACGAAAAGGCTTCAGTGCGCAAGAGACTTCGAGAGCGGACCTGAGGTGGAACTGAGGGTGAAGAAGGTAACCTTATGAGACTGGGGTGCAAAGATCAACGAACGCACTTCATCGGATTGGCTTCTAGATCTGTCCATTCTCCAGGTCTTCTGTTAAGGCTTCAGTTAAAGCATGTTAAGGCTGTTAAAGGCTCCATGTCAGGAGTACCTGCATTTGTCAGCCTTACACGTCTGCGGTCCATAGACCACCCGCCTTTCTGAACCCATCGTGGGTTCGCCAAAACCCACGCGGACCCACGCGGTTTCGCCTGGACGTGTCATGATCGGAAGCGCTTCGTCGGCCGCGGACCCGCCGCTCGGTGCGTCGAGTCGTTCGTCCCGACCGAGCGGCGCTGTTTCTTCGCCTCGCCGCAACTGGCAGAGCAGGCGCTCCAGGTCGACCAATCACCCCAGCCACAACCTGTCCAAACGAGGACGTCGACGGATCGGGGAGCTTGTTGATCCGGACTACAGAGGAACGAACAAGCCATCTGCGCTCGTTGAAGGGCGGGTCATGGCACCTCGCTTCGCTCCCTTCGCTCGGCTGGAACGAAAACCCAGGTGGAGATGTGTCCAGAAGTCTGTTCCTTTTCCTCGTGTGAAGTAGGGGGTACTGGCTGGGGGTCCACCCCCTTGATCCTGTAGACATTCCCACGGGGATTCATTTTCTATGGTCAACCGGTCTGCCATGGCCGCTATGCGACCTGCATGAAAACCACCACATCTGGCATGGACGAACGAGAGTCTGCCGGGCGAACGTGCTGTCCGGATGCGCGCATGAGGGGTTCTGAATGGGACTTCGGCATGTCTTGTCTTCACTCCCAAAGGAAAACGGACATTGAGAAGATGGCATACTTTCCAGCATAGGGGTTTCCTCTCTTGCGCAATGAAATGGGATGGTTCTGGTGAACCTCAGAGTTCTCCTACCAACCAACCAACCAACCAACTGCTGGTGAAATTGGCAGTCGAAGAAACGCTTCAACCTACTTCCGACTCGAAACCAAAACCCACTGGCAACCACCCCATCAGACCCGAAATCGACCCGATGCACAGCTTCACAGCCGGTCCGCCATTCAAAGCGCTGGTCGATTGCACTTGCTCCGCTTTCTCTTCGCCTCGCTTGGCGCAATCCGGAGGCAATCCACTCGCCTTCTTTTCTGGCAGTTTGCTTGAACAATTCAAAACCCCACTCCGAGTGGTACTTCTTAAGCCCAAGAAGTACTTCTTAACCCCAAGAGTGATACTTCTTCTGGCATGTTTGATACTTCTTAAGCCCAACACGTGACCAAGACTGTAGTATCTTCTTATGATGGTCCATTGGTCAGTCCGTGAGTTGAAGGACTTCTGTTGACCAGTTGACCAGCTACGGTCTCTGCTCCGCCAGGGCTTCATATCCTCCATTTGTTTCTCCTTTTTTAGAGGCGCGAAGTGCAAAATAGCAATCGCTCTGCTCTTCTTTCTGCCGTTGTCCCCCATCCCTTGGGCCTGGTACGGCCCACAAAAAGGAGGGGTTCCCTTTCTCTCTGCACGTATAATATACCAGGGTCATCCTGGACATGGGTGTCCTGGCTAGACTACCCTACCTTACGTAAACAGGCCTCCAGACAGGGCACCCAGACAGAAAGTGTACAGTGTTGGGTCGGTGAGAAACAGGTCTCCGACGAGTCCGAGACGTTGCCGACCGAGAGAACGACCAGACGGGGCGGGGGGGGTGAGACACCATGGCACCGTGCTGCGAAAAGTCTTCGGTGTTTTCGGCCAGACGGGAGAACATGGAGGTTCCCATGTTCACGCCCGGTTGGTAGCGGAACATCGTCGGACCTGGTCTGGTCCATGCGGGTCTTCCGGGTGGAACCGGTCTCGGGATGTATCACCCTGGAGGACGAGACGTGCAAGTATCGGCGAGGCCAGTACAGGCGAGTGCGAGTTACGGATGAAGGAGAACACGTGGGTGTTGGTTGGCGGGACATACGTCCCAACGATTGGACCATGTCGTCGAATGTCGTAGTAGGGACCTCATACTGATATGGACTTGTTCAGCTGCTGAGATAGGTAATTTGGGTGTATCTTGATGTGACCCTTGGGCTTCCCCTGCATGTCCGCCCTTTTTGGAAGAGACAAGCCGACAAGACGTTCACCAAGCAAAAGCCGCAAAAGCGGCTTGATGGTCAGGGAAGGCTGGATCTGATGCAGGTGACCCAAACCATCCTAAACCTAAGAAACTGCAGACAGGGGAGACCCTGCGCTGGCAGAAAGACGGAACACGTCAGCGTGGTTTTGTTAGGACCTCTTCCTGGACCTTGAAAGGGATGCGAAAAATGTAGATCCACAAGTGGTGTAGGGTTGTCTATTGGAGACCCTTGAAAGGTGGGGGGTGTCCTGTGGGGAAACTCGAAAGTTACTGTGACTTGACTGAAGTCTATCGGTTAACACTGGTCACTCTTGACCATTGCCCCCTCCTTTGTAACAAATGAATTGCCTCATGAAGGCCTGTTGCATTCCTATAAGATGAATCCATGGGCGTAGTGGATTCAAACAGTGAATAAAAACACACAAACACGCCGAGGTCTTCGCTGAGGTCTTCAGAGAAGACCCTCTGAGAAAAATAGATATGGAATGTTGCTGCTGGTTGGAGAGGAGTTTAACCTTGCCATCAATCACCTTTATTACGAAGAAGAATCTCTGATTAAAAAGCAACAAGCCTTTGGTCTGTTTCTTGCGAATGGATGACGGTGGAAGATGACCGTTTCCCATGCGTTCGCCCTCAATTACACCAGCCTCCCACCAACAACGTGTGCCGACGGTGGCCCGTGCGCCCACCTTCGAGGAAGAGGTCTCCATCACTCTGAACGCCCACGTCCAGCAGAGCACCTTGACTGCCACACGGAGAAAAGAGAATTGCTTCTTGTTTGTGGGAGTTCACCAGGGTGGCAAATGTCAACGTATGTAGGTTGAAATATATATATATATTATGTTTATTAAAAAAAGAAAAACTTTCATATGGTAAGGCCAGAATCCGTGATTTAAAAAAGTCAAAAAAAAGTCCAACTGGAAAAGTCAAAGTCAAAAAAAATCAAATTGAAAAGTGGAAAAAAAAAGGTTTAAAAAAAAAAGAAGTCGAAAAAACAATCAAAAAAGATCAACCATAGACCACAGCTCGAAAAAGTCAAAAAAAAAATCAAAAAAAGTCGAAAAAAAATTAAAAAAAAGTCAAACAAAAGTCAAAAAAAGGTCAAAACTGTGGCTCCTCGCCTTGGCGGATTACTGGAGTCAAGAAAAGTCAAAAAAAAAATTGTCAAAAAAAAGTCAAAAAACAGTCAACCGTAGACCACAGCTCGAAAAAGTCAACAAAAAAAAGTCAAAAAAGGCAGTCGAAAAAAATACAATTTTAAAAAAAAGTCGAAAAAAAAACAGTCAAAAAAGTAAAAAACAAATCGAAAAAAAGTCAAAAAAAGTCGAAAACATGTCGAAAACGGTCGGATCTGGGCAAATTGACTGTTTTTTGACTTTCTGAAATTTGCTGATTTGACTTTTTTTGACTTTGACTTTTGGGATTGACTTTTTTTGACTTTTTTTTAACTTTAGAAAACAGGCTCTTTCCAATGAAAGTTGTTTAAAATATTATGTAGTATATAGGTGCTACATGTGTTTGGTTCTTGGCTTCGTCTATATAGTTTAGATCTACTCGTAAGGTTCTTCCGCAAGATTTACTTATCCCAGTGGACGAGCCATCCACATCAATGCCACTGCTGAATTGTCTTACTGCATTTCCAGTATTCGGTATCAACATGGTGAAATATCAACTAAGCATTAATGCCGTCTTGAATTAGAAAATTTCCAGACTGGCTGACTTGCCGTTTGAACAATGCAGCTTTTGAAGATATTGAATGACTATAGAGCGCAGTCTTACCAACTGACAAGAGTAATTGGCAATGAAAACACTCCCGGTGGCCCGTCTGCTTGTCCCAACACCAAACAGAAACAAACTGGTTCTGCTCTCAAGCGGTGCTTCTTCTTCTCTTAGACAGATTGACCACCAGTTCATACAGTCACACCCACCCACTGCCAGTGATGTTGAGCACTTCTACTCTACCACCTCGATGGTAAATGATGCCATATCAATGGAGTCTTTGGGGTATCGTTTCCATAGCAATGCCACCGAACTCACAGCCGCTGTCTCCGGTTCACCTCACTGGACGCACTGGACCGGACCTCGTCGTGCCTTCCTGTCTGGACCGATGGCGAGTCAGGCGAGTCAGGCGAGCTCGTCAGGCGAGTCTTTGCGCTGGCGACGTGTCACCCTTCGGCGGGTTTTCAGCGCCAACCACGAGAGGAAGGGAATGGGTTCACCGCTAGGATTCGAAGAAACCAGAAGACGCTCCGCCCGACGCTCGCCCTCGCGAGAGCGTGCGGGGGAATCACCCTTCGGATCCAACCCGATGGATCCTGCCCATCGCTCGCAGCTGGGGCTGCCGGCCACGCTGAGCCTGGTCAGACAGGTGAGGAGTGAGAGTGTGACTAAAGTGGTTGTGATTCCAATGACAATCCTGCTACTAGGAACAAAGAGCATCGCTACTAGAAGCAAGAAACTACTAGGAACAAAGGGCATCGCTACTAGAAGCAAGAATCTCCTTCAAAGAATCATGGAATATCATGGCCGCTGGAAAAACCATGAAATCCTCTGCAAACAGGGGATTGTCCACTTCCATGATTGTTGGAGGGGGGGTACGCAAAAATCCTCAAATACCCAGCACCAGCACCAAAACTCGTCAGTGATCCAATCATTGAAATCATTCCTTCAGCTCCCCTTCTCAAGCCAAGGGGTGAGAACACCAAATGGATGTGCATCAACATAGGGAAATGTCCAGGAAATATACATTGAACAATCTACCCAGCCAGGGCCAGGGTGTCCCATCAAATACACACCACGTCTTACGTCTTAAGCCATCGTATCATGGCCCCAAACGCGGCGAGCCGCACCATCCAACCACTATCGATGGTAATGGCGAAGCCACTGAGTGGAATAGCTAGACCTCCCCAGGCAAAGGGCCTTGCTGGAAGAATACAAAGTCGACGATCCCAGCGGCGATGCTTGCCCCGTCTTCAACAATGAACATTGTGAGAGCGCCATACAAGGTTGGAATGGAAAGAAACACCTTACCTCTGGATCTCAATTGTTGCCATGCTCAAGGTGGCCTCCAGACTACTCCAAACAAAGTCTCCGCAACGCGCGCCTTCCTGGCAGAAGCCGTCCTCGCTGTCCTTCGAGCAGAGCTGCGGTGGCACAGCTCTCGGATTTCGGAAAACGACGAAAGATCTCGTCGTTCCACACGATCTTCAAAGCCTTTCAGTACTACAACGGCTCGTGATTAATATGTGTGTTTTTTCGGTCAAATAGGTTGGAGGCCATCGTTACTAGAAACTCAAATGAATGTAGTGTGATTGTTTTTTTCTTTTTGTTCGGTCAAGTCTTGGGGTTCTCCGACCTCTGTGGGACACATCAGAAAGCTCGCCCCATTTCGCGGTCCTTTCGATCCTTGTAGGTCTTTCAGAGCGTAGCAACCTTGCACGGTGGGTGCATTTGGGGCGAAAATAGAAGACAAAAAAGCACCGAAAGAGGATCATTATCAGCAGCAGCAGAAGTTCATAATCAGTTCTTCATAATATGTATACCAGGGAATCCAAATTTGCATTTTTGTTGTTCAAACACGTTCGCCCAAAAATTACGTGCATCTGGCCTTTTTGTCAAATGGACAAGTTTTCTGGGATTCCTCCCAATATTGGGTTTGATTGGGTTTTATCAATATAATTGTTTGGGTTTTTGTCGATAAAATGTTGGTAAAGTTTGGGTTTCATATGGGTACGCTTTTGTACGGTATTGTTTTTCTGTCCATACGGCTAAATATGCTAATTCGTTAATTAAAGTGTCCATACGATAAATTCTGTCCAAATACGGCCTTCGCACAAAAAAAAGTGTTCATACGCCTTTCCAGGTATATAAGCACAGCCGCAGATCCTTTTTCCACTCGTTGCAGCAAGTTTGTCCAAAGAACGAATCACCACCAGGTGCGGGAACCTGAATTCTTCCTCTTGGGGCCAAAACACTCATCCTTTCCCGCCAAACCAGAGAAAGGTGAGTGCCCCCCAGTGCCCCCCACGGCTGCATCCGCCATACCGGAGCCCCCTGAGCCCGAACACTTTTCATGAGGAAAGCCCCCTGGTTCATCAGGCTTTCAGGAAGTCAAAACGGGGTTTTCTCCCATGCAAAAAAACAATTTTCCCAGCCTTTCCACGTCCCCCTGTCCTGCTTCCGGGTGGTTCTTGAAGTAGAAAGAGGTGTACGTGCGCAAACGCGAATTAGGGACTTTCATTTCGGACAACTGGGCTAAACCTTCGTTCAAACAAATTCGTGCAGTCTTTGCTGCGGCCCAACGGCCTTGAAGCAGCAACTTGTCAAAACTACCGTGATGCTGGAAGAAGAAGGTTGCGCCTCCCCGTCGAAGCGAGTATGGTCGGAGACCAAGTTCTGTCAGCTTGAGACCTTTTAGGGCTTGGTTAAAAGCACGCCTCCAGGCATGTGCCCTGGTGGTCAAGTAAGCATTGGCGGCTGCTCGACGCTTCCAACTGTACAAAGAAGGTATCATAGATGGTTACGCTTTCACTGGCTCCTTGACGGGCGCCTGACTCAGTCAGACCCAAGGAGATGACAGCAGGTCCTTCAGGGCTGGTGAGGTAAACAAGAAGTGAGATTCAAAAGCTCACCGGCGCGGAGCAAGCCGAAAAACGCAACTCGGAGTGACAAACCAAACTCAGGAATTCCTCGCATCACACTCCAGCCGCACATGGCATCGAAGTTAAGCGTCATGGGGGGAGCTCGATTGGGAATCTCCGCCGTAGACCAGGCCTTTAAAAGACGCCAACTTCGAGTTTGCGGCGCAAATTGCTGCAGCGCAGCGAGGGTATTGTTAGCCTCCGACTTCCCATGCCCATCGGCCCACAAGAAGTCCAAGTAGTCACTGACCAGGTTGTCCATCTGGGCGACGCGACTTGGGAGCGCTAAGCCCTCCCTTCCCAGCCAGAAATTTTCCAAGCATGCTTCATATCTTTGGCGTGTGCGTGGTTGTAATGTCAAACCCTTAAGTTTTTCCAAGCTTCTTTCGAATTGCTTTGCGTTGCTGCTGACTTCGGCCTTCGCCTATTTTTGCACTCTTTTAGCAATTTCTTGCGGACAGGCCGCCGCAATGGGTATCAATGTACCCCCAGGTACCATGAAGGGCACTGGCCAACAGCAACGCTGCAATCTTTGCTAAAATCCTTCGAAGCTTGCGGGAACTTGAACGACCACGTGACAGGGCGAGGAGCACCACCAAAGAATCAACAAGGTGCAAGAACTTGGCGCGCTCCTCCTTCAGCTCGCGAATCCTCCACACAAGCGAAGTCTTCACCGGGCGTAGCTCCAGCACGTTATGTCACTGCCCATCTCAAAAAAGTAGGTCTTCACCCTTGCCAGATACCTGCCCTATAACAGTTTGCGAACCAACCCTTGGCCTGGTGTCAACCGCTGAACAATATCCTGCATGGACATGGGGGTGTTCAGACCCAGTGTAGGAAAGAGCGAATGCAACAAGCAACACACTACAGGCACAGACCAGCTAGTGCCCAAGAGCGTACGCCGACAGTTCCTTTGTTGACTTTTGGGGAAACACTTCGCAGCGCAGTCCAAGGGGAAACCCAAAATGCACTCACGCTCACGCACATTCGGGACACGCACCTCTTGCCAGCGTGTGATGTCATCAGGGGAACACAACTCCAAAGCTGCAGGCTTGCGACCCGGTACCGGCGACGGGTGTGATGTAGTGAAGGTAGGTAGAATCTGGTTGGCACTTACTCTGTGCCAGCCTGGCTCCACCTCCTTGAGCATCCTAGCAACTCGTGGTTCCCAATTAATTTGGTCAAGCTGACTCCGCCAGCATCCATGTCCCTTCATACGCTTGGTTCATGACCGAGCAATCCCCAAAGTCCATTGAGGCCACATTCTCAGCCAGTCGAAACACCGGGCACCAACGAAAGAAACGACGTAGCAAGCGCTCTACCCGGGGAACATGCGAAAATAAACACAAGCGAGCGCCCCCTTCCTGTCCGAGCTCAAACCTGACACACCTTGGCAAGGGGGTCCCGCTCCAAGCACGACGGCTGAGACCCCAGGAGACCTCAAGATCCAACTGCTTACTTCATGCTCATCTATGAGGCACACATCGTGAACATGCAAGACCTCTGGGAACCAGCTTTCGACGACACGTCTGGCTTCTTCTGAGATCTCAGCGGAGACGTAGCCTGCGACCAGCACGCGTAAAGCGTCAACTGCTACCCGAAGCGCTCCAATGATCGGCCCCACCTCATCCTGGGAGATGATGTCTCCCCTGCACTGAGCCTGTGCAGCTGCTATGCCATAGGGCGACAACTCCTTACACAGGCCTCCTCCACTAGTCGAAGCATCGCTGGCGGTGACCGCCTCCGAAACGCTTGTACGGAAGTCCATGACGGCCCAAGGCGTCAATGCTGCAATGAACCGCAGGAGCTCTAACTTGACTGCCTCTCCACCTCTCCGAGCTCCACAATCCTACGCCACAAGGCATTCAAACCTGCTAGCAGTGGCCGACGGAACATTGCAATGTAGACGAAACCCCCTCCTACAATCTGCAATTCCTTCTGTGAAGCTCGTCCTCGAATCAGCAGCTCACACGCTAGTCTAACAGTTAACATACTTCAGCACCTTGTCGCCCTTGGGGGACGCCGTTCCTTTTTCTCCATCCAACCATTCTCCTTGAACTTCAGCCTTCAACTCCTGTGTCACGGCTTTCTTGGGGTGCCTGGGCAACCCCAAGGTCTCGTAGGCCTGCCAGACAGCCAAGGTGCGTCTGCCAAGCGCCTGTCCACCTTTTGTGGTTCGTCATAGTTGTCCAAGTACACGCGGTACAGGTGACCTGAGGTACTGGGTCCCCTATCTCGACGAATCTCTTGGTGTCCAGTGGCTAAAGCTCGTTCTCCCCGAAGCACCTGGCTGATGACCCTTCGATGCATATGCTGAGCAATAGCGACTGAGTTGTTAAAAGCCCATAGGCAATTGGAGTACGAAATAGGTAGAAGGAAGCACCTTATGTCCTCTGACGAGGTGATGAGCAATTGATTGTCATCCAGCATGACAGAACTCATGCCCGCCACGGTAGGCAGTGTTGAAATATCTTCAATCAAACTTCTACAGCAGCTATTGGTAGGCACTAACTTCATAATCAACCTGCATACCTCAAAAGGTACTCCGTCAGCTCCTACTGCAGTTTCCCGCTTACTCACCGCGAACATGCCGTTGAGTAACGGTCGACCCCCTACATGGTGTAGTTCAGCAACATGCATCAACCGGCACACCCGCCGTATCAGCAAACCACGGCACACCTCGCCCCACTGGCTCTTCTCCACCATGATCGCCGGAGTGCGCCCCAGGTGTTGGTCCTGAGGCGGCAGCATAAAGCTTTCAACATGCTGGATGTAGTTGAGCGTCCCTTCTGCGCAAAACTCTTCCAACTCCAATGTCCCTACAGTCTCCAGCATAGCCGCCTCTACCATGTTCCATTCGAAGGCTCGGGCTATCTGGACTTCTTCACCGGAGTAGTCTACAGTTTTGGAATCAAAAAGCTGTTTGAAGTTCAGCTGGGGCAAGGGTTCCTCAAGCAGGGGTGACGTGACCACAACCTGGTTTAGCCTCTCCGTCAAAACTCGTAGAGTCTTGTCCTCCTTCGTCCGATTCTTCGGTCTAGTCCCATACAACAAATTCAATGCACGAATCAATGCATCCGAAACAACTCTATTCTCTGCCACCTCCAACGCTCGGGACGGCACGGTTCAAATTCCAGTCACCCGTTTGCTGCCATCTCATCCAACACTTGGCTGCGGCGGCACGCATTCAAAGCCGGTCGCCTCGCCCCAAGTGCCAGGCACTGGGAGGCCGAGTCTCCTGAGCCCCCGGCGAATGCTTTTCAACTCGATCTTCGCACTGCAGCCCTCCTGCCAAGCATTTGAAAAACCTGGCTCCCTCTCAACCGAAGTCAATGCATCCGTCTTCGACTTTGCGCCTACTCAGCTGCGGGAGTGCCTCCTCCTCCCGACGACGACGCGTCATCCAGAGTTCCTCTCAACGACCCCGTTCCCGACGTGGGAGCCAGGTCATTATTGCTACAACGTCTTTTTGCCCAAAGCTCTCTCTCTCTTGAAGCCCTTTCTCCTCACTCTCTTTCAAGAGCCTCTCAACGCTCTTCTATCAACCCATGCCACGCCCTCCTGATCAACCAATGTACCATCATCCTCAACTGTCTTCAGCCGCCCTTGTGATTGCCTTTCGATCCACCTGGGGTCCTCTTTTTTGCGCTTTGACATCATCATTGCTTATCTTTGCGCTTTCCTTGTTCCTTTCTTTCCTTTGTCTCCTCTTTCCTTCTCCTCAAGTAGATCGGATCGATTTGTGCTCTTGCCCCCATCTCCTTTCCCACTTGTATATTGTAAGGCCTCTGCGTTGCCAATCTGTTGCGCATCTCTTCCTGTGCCATGCGGGCAGCTTCCGCACTCTCGGCATCTTGGCTCAATCCGACGGAGTCCGCCGACACAAGCTCCATTTGGCGGGCCACCGTCCAGGCCACGCAGTAATAAATCCGCGTCTGATTGATCGTCAGCAACTCCTGTCCCATTGACGGCGACACCAGCTGATGTAGTTCGGTGCGGTAATACTGCGTGAATAGTGGAGGAAGTGACCTGCGATCTTGCGAATGTAACGTCCCACTTGCTGTGAGCATGGACTCCTTCTTATTCGCAATCGTTTGAGCTCCCAGGCAACCGGGGTAGCGTTGCGTCAACCTCAAGGCCCGTTTCTTTCTGCAAAGAGGCCCTCGCCTGTCTCTGATTTCTCCTCCTCCTCCTCTGTAGTTGAGCTCTCCGTCGAAGAGCTATCACTTGACGATCTCTTCCTCTTCTTGCTCTCCTCCTTGCCCATCTCGCCGGAGCTTTGACCTCTCCTCAACTCAAGGGTCAAGGCATGTGCCACTGTACAAGCTCCTCAATGACTTCTGGCCCCGCTCCAACGAGACCTCCTCCTCACTGTCTCCATTTGCAGCTTTAGCTTTATCCTCCTTCTTCTCTTTGGCCTTCTCCTTCTTTTTCTTCTTTTTCTTCACCTTCTCATCATCATCGCTGGGAGATTTCATCTCCTCTCCTGACGGGGCCCTCCTGGCCTCATAGTGCCTCCTCAACCTAACCATCTCGTCTTCTTCATCAGCCCCGGGTCTGGCCTCTTTGAAGAGGGTGTGGCAGGGTTGACGACGCTCACCGACTTGCCAGAATTGTGAGGCATGCAAAGCATCAGGTCCTGTGACATGATGACTGCAGTCTTTCGGACATATGTGAAGTTGCATCACCCTCTTCTCAGGATCACTCAACTGGGCGCCGGTCACCGTGAACTCGAGAAAGTCCGAGTCACGTCCCAACCGGTAGTGTACCCGCATACTTTGACCAGACCATCGTAGTAATAGCCATAGGCAAGCTCCACTAAACCTAGAGTCGTCAGCTCTGTGAGCTCCAGCAGGTAGGTGAATTTGTCGGTCTCCAATTTCTCCTCGACCTTAGCCGCTGGACGTCGCCTCAGCGCTGGCGCTCTTGCTGCTGGCCTGTGTCTCACTGCCATTGCACCACCACCTATTGTGCCTCTCCTGCCTTGCCCGGCGGGTAATGCCTTTGTTCTTTCCGACGTACCACCAAGGATGTGAGCTTCGTGGCACTAGGGCACAGGCGGTGGTGCCGGAGGTGGAGGTCCTGGCGGCATGCGCGGGCTCCTCGGACGAGGTGGAGTTGGCAATCTCGTCAACTCCTTGCGCTTCGCCTCCCGTCACCGAGCTTGTGGAGCTGCTCAACTTCCTCTTCCTCTTCTTGTCGTTCTTTTCCTTGTGCTTTCGCTTCTTTTCCTTCTTCCGCCTTTTCTCTGATGAGCTGCTTTGCAAACTCTTACTTCTTTCCTGTCTCCTCCTCCTCTGCTTGGGAGACTTCTCTTTCTCCCTTCGGGGGCTCACTTCAACCTCCTCCGCTTTCTTGTGCTTGGGCTTATTTATTAAGGGAATGAACATTTTCATTTTTTATGCATCCAATGGTTCTTCAGGCATCCATGGCCAACAAGACTGAGGAGCATCGCAGCTCCACCGATGCTGAAGCTCATAGGCTGCCAAGACATCGTTCTGGCCGTCAAGAGAAAAACGTCACAATGTCAGAAGGCCATGGGGACACCACGGCCGCCGCCAACACCAAAAAGCGACAACAAGAAAAGGCACAACGACGACAACGACAACGACGGCGACACCAAGTAACAACGACAACAACAACGACGAAAACAACAATGATACTGATGATGATGATGGTAATTGACAGCAAGAAACTTCGAACACCTTCTTGACACCAGCAGCCCCCGCCTTCCAGCTTTTGTGCTGTGAGTCTGTGAGCCACAATGTCAGGCTGACGAGCGGTTTGGTCAAAAACCATTGCCCTGATGCTCTATGTCTATGTATAGTTATATGCTCTATGTTCATCACAGCAAAGTTCCCCTCTTCTTTCAAGCCTGTGACTTTTCAGGTTCTGGGCTTTGCTGTGCTCAGATTTGGCCAAGTTGGGCACAGTCAATATATCAGTCGCAAGTTTTCATGGGCAGAGCGGCGATGTGATCTTGGAAACTGCCAAAGGGTGTACGCACCTCTGCCACGTTTACTTTTAGTTATCAACAATTCCCTGCGCACTGCCTTTTTTCTGTCTAGGTGTAATGTCATCGTGAGACGGGCCCAGTGCCAGGATTGGCTTGTTGCCAATGTCTTGCGCGAAGAAGACTTGAAGCGGATCAAGGCTGCAAAAAAAAGCAGCCAAGCGTGGGAAGAAGTTCCTGACCATATGTTTAGTGAGGCTAGGATTTCCGTCAGCATCCCTCTTTCAGGACCCATACACTTTCGAGATCAAGATCACTCCCGGAGTGGATGTGTCTTCAATCGAGGAAGAGGCCTTTTGTGACAACTCCCTGAATTAGTGTTGAAAGAATCTCCATGCACAGGTCGCTTTGAACTACGATCGACTTCACTCGTGGTTTTCTACATTCGGCTGGAGCACACCGTCTGGTAAAGAAATGCTTGCACACAGTGACATGTGGTCATCTTTAAAGTAAGTGTGTGTTCAATCCATGTGGTGAGGCCGTGTTAGAGGCTGACGAGACCAGGTACATTCTGGAGGCTTCGAGGAAGGACAAACAGGTGGGTAACCTTGAAGGGGCCACGCAATTCATAGTCTCAAGTGCCTATAGCTAGCGGTAGATCATGATTTCTCCCACTGAAGGCTGAAGCTGATGAGGCAGCTATGGAATTTTGAGCGTTGCTTGCGGACTTCTTGAGCTCTGAAGCAGCCTTGCAGGTATGCCAACGCACTCTCGTCCCTGTCAGGTCCAAGAACTTCACGAAGTGACACCTGCAACTGGTATGCCTTCCGGCACGGAGCACAGGTGACAAGCCCTCGATCCCTGCAGAAGTGTTGGCACCTGTCACAGATTGGGAGAGGGGCGGCTTCCCCCTCTCCCATCCAAAATCGAACCCCTTGAAGAGCCCGATGCTGCGGTGGAAACATAAATCTGTTCTGTGCTTAATTATGAGGGCATTAATCCATATATATATATATACAGTATGTGCGGGTAACCAATCCTCTGTTACTGGCCAGTAAAAAGCTTGGGGAACTGCCATGGTCTCTTGTGGTCCTACCGACCGCACGGCCGGTGCGGACGATCATCGATCGTCGCCTGTCCGCACCCCACTGCATCAACGCCGCGACGCCGCGTTAACCCGCGGATTGGTGATCTGCGCATCCAAAAAAGAACCTCCAGGTTGCTGCCAGGGTGTTGTATAAGCACAAATGGTTGGAAGACCCGACCTAAATTGAAATCCTCTGGATGATGTTTTTTCGGCGATACCTTTGGTCCTGAGTCGCAGAAGTCGCTCCACTGCGAGAGAAGCTGAGCATGCCCAACACCCTCTGCAGTAGCACAGCTACCGGAAAAAAGGGAGATTAGCTGCGACCATGAATCAATCCAGAAACCCTGTATTGGCCCAGCGCTTCGCCTCAAGAAAAAGAAACTGTCCAGCACGAGGAGGGAAACAACGGCTTCCTTTAGGTCTGTTGGAAGGAACCCACCAGGTTGCCGCGGAACCCTCCCTCCCGACGTGTCCGAGCCCAACGCCACTCTGACTTCGCCACGTCACTTCGGACTGGACGGCTCCGACTCGAGTCGATCCTGTCCACAGCGGGGCGTGCCGGTCCGCCCGGTGCTGGGCCGCACCGGTGCGGGGTCTGAGCCGCTGGGAGTTGGGGGAACCGCGCCACCCGAACAGAACGGACGTGGATCGCCCCATGGCCATCCAGCGGATCGTTTGGTTCACATGGGACATGTTCCACCTCTTTCGGAGGAAGAAAAAGAAGGCTTCTGAGTTCTGCGGATCGGTCTCAGCGGATTGGTCTGCGAGTCCGTCTCTCGCATTCGAATAAAGACCTGTTCGTTGACACGACCCGGACTGGCATCTGGCATATGTCGACCCTTTGAATCATCACCCCCACTGTAGATGTATACAGTGTACGGTCTCAAAAAGTCCTCTGGGTTTGTGTGTTCCTTTCCACGCATTCCATCCGAACAGCTGAAGATACTTCTGACCAACGAGGTTCGGCTGACCGGCTACACATGTGCCGAGAACGGGAGGTCAAAGGCTGACCGCCTGAAGGAAAAACCGGTTCCACAAGTGCCACGGGTTCCTACACATCCCTTGGCTAGTTGTAAGAAACACATCCAAATCGAAAACAACACCTCGGGAGAATGCACTCCCGAAATCAGCATGGGCCGACGTGGCATGGCCCCGATTTCGACTTGGGTGACCATGTACATCCGAAGACCAAGCAGGTGGTGCCATCCACTTAAATACATGTTGCAGTAGTGACTTAGAGTGTATATCCCATTACTCATAGCGGTGGATGATTGATCATTTTCTTAAGTTGCAGGCCCTT